CTTTCTTTCTTTCTTTCTTTCTTTCTTTCTTTCTTTCTTTCTTTCTTTCTTTCTTTCTTTCTTTCTTTCTTTCTTTCTTTCTTTCTTTCTTTCTTATAGTATTTTCATCTTGGATTTGATGAGATTTCTATTGAACTGATGCTGCCTTCGTTTTTTTAAATAACTAATTGAAAGTAGGGGAAAATCCAGCATCAGTCCTGTGAAATGGGAAAAAAACACGTTATTGATCAGCAAAGTCAAGATCTGTAGTTCAAAGAACATCTGGTATGTGCATATATTTTTTTTCTTGAATGTTAAATTAATAACCATGTTGTTTGCAGAGCAATAGAGATGATTTTCTTGTTTTTATTAACCTGTGCTTGCAGTTCCTTGATGTTGGTCAATAGACATATCATACTTACATTGGGTATACTGATATAAATCATATTATTTTGTGAAGTGCATTCTAGCCTGGAAACAAATAGAGGATGTAGTTTGGAGAGCAAAACCTGGATAAGACTCATAGCTGTCTGGGATCTTTCTTCCTTTCTTTCTTCCTTTCTTCCTTTCTTCCTTTCTTCCTTTCCTTCGCTCTCTCTCTCTCTCTCTCATTATCATAAACAGTTTTTTTTGGGAAAATTCTGATTTAGCAAAGACAAAACTTTTTGGGGACTTACTAGTTTTGATGAGCCATCATCTGGAAAAAGTTTTTCATATGCAGAATAAAAAATGACAGAGATCAGAACAGCAAATCTGTAGTGGAGCTCACCTGCAATTTGACAAACTCAACTACATATCTCATACTCATTCTCTTCATTCTGGTCCTTAGTTTTTCAGGACTCCATATATACGTCAAGAAGATTGGCTAGTACTGTAGCCAATCTACAGTCAAGAAGATTATTCTGGTAAATCCCACAGGAAATCATCTATAGGAATACCTACAAGGAATTCTACTGGAATTTTTATAAGTGAAGCTGCTCCTTATGTATTAAAAAGAGAAAAATAAAGGAGATTCTGATTATCCATAAAACAGGATAAGGCCAAAGAGTAGATAACCAGTCAGTTAACTAGTTTGTTTTTGCAGATTCTTGTCAATAAAGTTAATAATTATAAAACTTGTTTCTTCATGATGGAAATGAAGACTAAAACATATCAACCACTTCCACAACCAACTGAATATCGTACATCTATAGGGTAGCTGTAGCCCAGATATTTTACAGTGTAAATGCTAAAAATTCCAAAAAAATTATGACTTCAGTCAACAGTTCTCACTTCAATACCTCTGGATGATGTAACATACAGCTTTTTGTTGTTGCTTTCACAAAAATTTTGCATCATGGAAAACAAATGTCATGTGGTGAATACTTGAAAACAGCAAGGAAACTAACTAGTACATGTCTGTAGTAAAAAGTCAACATACTATTTGAGAAAGAGCAAATACAGTCATATATTTCTTTGCAAACTGTGTATATTTGTGCACTTCTTGGAACTGTTACAATTCAACATCTGTGCAAGACACAGAGTTGGATGACTTAGAAGACAAACTATAGTGAAGGCTGCTGGAAGACATGACCCATGTCCTGATGTAGAGGAAAATACACAGAGAAAAATTCTATGGACTGGCCAGCCTCCACTGACCTGCAGACCACTAACCATTGGGGAAAAGAGTAAAGTGGAATTCTGCAGTGAAAGAGAAAAATGTGTTTGTACAGAGAGGAACATAAAGACAGAAAATCAAGATAAACATTTTAATTTAGATTTTTCCTTTAGTTTAGAAATGAGAGATTGAGTCCATTATTAACTGAAATAAAGCCTTATTCAGTCAGTGAGAGCTTCAAGATGGCTCCTGATATAGGTTAATTGAAGTTCTGGCTAAAGTCTCCCACATGATGCCATCACACAAACTGCTGTCAAACATATAAACATTGCTATATTTAGCTGGCACTGAATAGTATGAAGACTAGAAAAGCTAAATAAGCTCTAAAATACACCTGCGTACCTCTGTAACAAACCAGGTGTTAAACGTAAAAGAAGGTCATGAAAGGTACTTATGTAAGCTAGAAACATATGAAGTACATGCAAGAATTTCATCATCAACATCAGGGAGGAGGTCTGGAATATTAGAAGAAATATGCATTCTATTAAGAATAACTTAATATATTAAAAGTGACTAATTATGGGGTGGTAGGGATTCAGAGTTGTTTGCTTTCGAAAGACAGATAAGGGATGGATGATCAGAAATATAAGTGACTGATTTTAATGTGAATATGACTGGTAGTAGAAAGACATGGATAAAAATTCATTTTTCGGAGAACTGCCTTTGGATTTTTGAGGGACCATATGCTCTTTATACATAGGAAATCCAGTTACCTAACTCTTTTGATATACATTAGCAAAGCACTATCTATCTAACAAAGCTATTGTGTTACTTGTTTAAAACTGTGTTATAATAGAAACTGCCAATAGCTTTCAGAAGCAACAGGAAAGCTGAGAAAATTTACAATTAAATTAGTGAGAAGAAAAATATTCAAAGCATATTCACTTGTTAAGAAGAATCTTCTGTGGTAAAATGGTAAAGCAGTCAAAGGAAAAAATGTGAGTAAAGCTAATTTCTGTTGTTTTCTCTGGGTAGATCCTCAGAGAAGATTGCATATGTTGAGAAACAACTAAGAAGATCAGCTCAAGATGATGGATTTTCATCAAGAATTTGAAGTGTCTTGGATATTTCCATACTGTATTGCAACATACGAAATTCTTTATTACTCAAAGCAGGTTTTATGAAGCTCAAGAGACAGAGTGGCTCAATAGACTTATCTGAGTATTTTACCAAAATAAAAAAATAAAAAAAAAGAGGATTAGAAAGTTATAATTTCACTTTTTAAGTCTTTACAATGTATTGTGTGTAGCTTAGTCAGGCACCAAGAATATCTGAGTTAACATTTGAGCAACAAGTGGTCATGGCAGCTGGCGATCTACCTTCTTAGGTATCTGTACTGACAAGAGATATAAGCATCTGACTACATTAAAAGCCCTCAGAAAGAGTTCACAGATGTGACAATGTGAACAGGTTATTATTTAGACAACTGTGGTTAGGTAAAGGACTGCATGTAAAGGAATGTATGTTCTTAAACTGCTTACTGCTGCTGCAGTTTGAGTTTCCTACTGCCGCCAAGTTGGCTGTCACATGCTAAGGGATACAGTAGGCAGCTCTTCCTTTAAATGAAAATTTATTGCAAAGAGAATGTGCAGGACAATTAACTTTTTAAGTCCTGTGAAATATTGCGTTGGGTTTACTTATGTGTTTCAAGTTAAGGCATGACACAAATGATGAAAAATAACCCAAGAAATAGCCGGATCTAAATGTCATGGGGCTTTCTATGATAAAATGGGAAATAGTCATGACATAGTAAGCATAAGAATGAAAACCTGCACTATTTTTTTTTTTTTTTTTTTACAAATACTTCATTAATGTAATAATAAGAAATAGGAAAGCAGAGTCTATTGTACATATTTAATCAATTTTACATTCTCTAGGCATTGTATATCTCTTCTATTTTTTAAAAAAAAGTAGCAATAGTTGAGTTAATTTTAAGTAGCAATAGTTGAGTTAATGCCCAGCTTGGTGTAATTTAGCATGGATTAGACATCTTCAATAATTTCTCTTTCAGTGATGCCTTTTTTCAGTCTGCTATTTTTCTGATTTGCACTAGTGTCCTTAGCTTTCTCTACTTTCTCATCTCAAACCCAGGACTCACATGCATGCTATTTTATTTTTCTTAACACAAGGTATCTCACCGTCATTCCTTCCTATTGCAATATCTTTGCATGTATTTTCTCTATCTCTCTTTTCCTGAGATATCATGGATAGATTTCACAAGAATACTGTCTTGACTTTTTTTTTTTTTTTTATCTCTTTTGATCCAGCTGGCAACTCTCTCAGCATCTTTAAAACCTGGCTATGTAGGATACACACAAATATTCCTATTTATTATTTGTGTGATGTTCAGCCAGTTAAGTTATTAGAAGACTTGTAAAGGTGCAGTACTTCAGCTTCCAGAAGCAGTGCCAGCACATTCTTTCATTCAAGACCCAGCAATGTAAATAGTCTATAGTATTTGCTCCTTTCAGTAACATTTAAAAATTGACTAGAGCATTTTTATATTTTACAGCCATATGGTGTACTATTTGGCAGTGTTTATGGACTCAGTGTTTTTATTTCATGAACTTCCAAAAATGTTCCTAGAAACAGATTCTCTTTATTATCTTTTTCATTTCAGATTTTTTGTAGCATTCACCAGCATCTTCCACTAGTACATTAACTTATGTTGTTAATATATGTCATATGTTGCTTATTCTCTCCTGGAAGAAAAGATGAGATATGATTCCTCTGCTTTGTGTTTGTTACAGTGTGTTTTATACACATAGAAGTCTGAACATAAGAATATGTATGTTCATATAAACAGTGTATATGGATATGTAGATATATGTATCTATTCATAAGTATATGACATACACATTCTGTGTTTCAGCAATGTTGGAGATATGTGCCTTACCCTTGATGCAGGAGTCAGGGGATGCTCTGTCTGCGTGTGTGTTTGTGTTGTCTGGGCATGACAGTAGTAACAACAGAGAGAAGGATGAAGGAATGTAATACTCATTCACTCAATGTACAATCAGTGTATATTGGAAGATATTTTCTATACCACAGAAATCAACTATTCATATCAATCTGAGTTCTATTTTCCAGATAAATTAATTAACTTCTTGCAGTTTTCACTTCCAAAACTTTTAAAAAGATATTTCAGAGAAACAGGAAGATAAAGATCAAGTGGTTTTGATTTGATATGACACGGAAAGCAAGTGTATAGAGCAGCAGACAGGCCTCACAAACTTGTTGTATCTTGGACCATTTGAGCAAGATGTCAAGACATTCTGTTCACTTTCAAAGGCTTGTGGGTTGGAGAGAGATTGGGCACTACCCTTAGCATTGCCAAAATCTACAATTGCCCCATTGCAGTAGATTTCATCTGTTAATTGAATATGATGTCTCTTATCTCTAGAGTTAATGTGACATTATTAACTTTTTTTTTTTTTTTTTTTTTTTGTATTTCTCTATTTTGGAGTATTTTTACTCTTTTACATAAATAGTAGGCAGATATCAATGGTTATATTAAAATGTAATCAAGTATCACAAAATGAATAAAGAGAATAATTGTCTCTTTTTTCTCACTGTACAGAATTATCTAAACTTTCCCAAAAAGTCATTTAATAAATTAATATTGTATTTTTTTCTCCTTTAGATTGCAGCCAAAACCTGGCATACATGAAAGTCTTGATTATCCAAATTTTCTCTTTGGACAGTAGGAATTTAAACAAAAAAAGGAGAGAGTAATTATTTCAGAATGTATTCTATTTTTCCAAATATGTTGTGACAATTTTTTAATGATATACTGAAATAGCACAGCTTCCCTTTAAAAAAAAAAAAAAAAGTTATTTGTTATAATTTTATTTTTAATGCTATTTTATTTTATTTTATTTTATTTTATTTTATTTTATTTTATTTTATTTTATTTTATTTTATTTTATTTTATTTTATTTTTATATTTTACTTTGGTGCACATTCATCTCTGTATTGTATGGTTGCTGTTCTCATTGAATTACTGGATTATTCTTAATGAATCCATCCAGACTATTTTAATATAGTCTTTGGAAGCTAAAAGCTCTACTGGTTTACTGCTACTTTTCATCCAAATCATTCCAGTAACTCTGAGACAACAGCTCAAACAGCTCAGACTATTGCACATAGCTAACATGCTATTGAGAAAAGTTGGCTTTTCTGAATCTAAAAGTTCTACATAATACTTATTAGGGTTTCAATATATTCCTGAATAGCGAAAAAAAATCACTAGAAAAGAGAAGCAGCAGAATTCATCTGCTCTGACTTAGGATTTTTCAAGTTAAATATTTAGATCTAAGTTGGTAAAAACTTTATAGTCAAGGCAATAAAATAAGTTCCTCAGTAGGAAATTGATCACATTTAATATTTGTCTCAAAGATCACAGATTTATCCTATAGGGAAATACAATGTGAAAATAGTGCCTAATTTAGACAAATGCAAGCTATGAAGCTGGGTAGGATGAATCTCATTGAGGGCAAATAAGTAGAAGTGACACCAGCCCATCTGTGGGTCTTTGATTGCATCTGAAAATATAATCTCTATTTTGTCCAAGGATAAGAGGGGACAGTCTTTTATCCGATTTCTACTGAATGCAGCAGTTCAGACAGCTGGTAAACACTGATTTTCAAATGCATTTTGGATTATTGGTATTCCTAGATTGAAGCCAAAAAATATTGTCATTCAGGTGCATTAATATTTAATTTTGGTTGTGCCCATGATTCACAATTCATTTGTCTGCAGTTTGGAACTCACTGTTCTAAGAGATGAGTTTCAAAACTGATACATTTTTGGGCAGGTTTCAGGCAGAACAAAGCTCTTTCACTAAAAAAAAAAAAAAATCTACAATACACATATTTTTAAGTGTTATTAATGCAGTGTTATTATTCAGTGTCTGTAAACTGTGTTTAGGAGTCATCAGAGAGAATAAAGAAACATTTAAATGTTGAATTATTAGGTAAATGAAAATTATATGAGACACTGAAAAGTCACAGTAAGTAAACAGACTCCAACTAATTTATTGCCCCCCTTTTCCTACACTCAAACTCATTTAGGGCTTTAGTAGAGGGAAATAAAATCAAAGAAAATAAAAGAAACAGATGATAACAAAACAAGGGTTAATTTAGTTAATTTTATCTATTTTTTACTATTAGAAACAAATGGACAACAAAGGTTAGATGAAGTACGCTTCTATCTGTGTGGGTGCTCTAAGTGGTCTGAACTGTCCACAGTTTGCACAAACAGGTTAGAATCATCTCTTATGAGGTACTTGTAAAGGTGACACTTTTTTATGTTTCTGAATATCTCAGAAGATTTATGAAAAATTGACACAGTTCTAGTAATATGAAATAAAAGCAGAAGCCCTATGTTGAGAAAGATTCATCAGCCTATGTCCTGAAGGCGGATTTGTAGATGAAGATGCCAGCATGATTTGACTAGAGTGATATGAAAAAAAAGAGAGTTCTACCTCTTGCCCTCAGTCAGAGTGTTCACTTTTTGGCAAGTATTATGAAGAAAAAGTAAGCTGAAATATACATTATTTTTCCTGATTATTTTTTCTTACATTATTATCATATCGATTCTGTGCCACATGCTCTAGGTGTGCCTGCTTGAGCAGGAGGGTTGGACTAAATGATCTCTAAAGGTCCCTTCCAACCCTGAATATTCTGTGATTCTGTGATTGAGGGCTATTGCATTTTTCTTTACAATGTAAGCACAAATGTATACATTTCAGTGATAAATATAGATGTAATTTTTCTGAAGTTTTAAAATATTCCATCTTTTTTCTTAATTCTAAATCTAGTACTTGATGAATACCATCAAAACCACTGAATGCTTCATGAGGAAATAAGAGCAATAGATTATTGCAGAATCAAAAACAGGTAGTGAAATATAGAGGCATTGGATGGAAAGAAATTACAAGTAAATTTAGTTTCTACTTTAAGGACCAAGAATGAGATGATAATTTGCTTCTTATATTCTACAGAATCAATGAATTCATCTTACTGCTTCAATCATGATCCTGTACATGGGCTGTGAAGCCAAAGCGGACACTACCACCTTACTTACT